CCAGTCTTTCCCCGAGTGAAGGGCAGCAGCAGCCACAGGAGGACAAGTGGCCGCAGCATGGAACTGAAGGTCTGCCATCAACACCAAGCTGCCAAAGCTCTGGCACTTGGATGCTACTGCCACCACCAACACAGGCAGGGGTGCTTGGAGCGCTACTTCCATCACTGCATCCTCAGCTGCAATCAGTGGCACTTTTACAGCCGCAACCAAGCTTAAGGGCACGACCCAGTTTCACATCCAGGCTGCTGCAGCGACCCCGCATGGGTGAATGGTCTATGGGAGCGCCACCACCATCTCGTACTGTCAGTTGGGGCCACCGGGCGCTCTCAACATCATCTGGACAGCCCAACACAACCTCGCAACTATCTTTACAGCAGCAACGGTCGCTGCGTGCGCCACGGGGTGAGAGATGGGCCCTACCACGGCCAGGGCAGCCAGCTGGAGGTAATTGGGCGCGGCCGACATCACCCTCAGCGGCACCGATGCAGATGTCGGGATTTGCTAAGCATGGCAGCTTACTTCACCGGTCAGAGCCAACACAGCAACAGGCATCCGATCGGCCGGACACACTGGCGCCACTAGTAGAGGCTACTTTGTCGCTGAAGAGCAGCCGGACATTAGCACTTGAACTGCCGCTGCCGCCATGGATTTCGAACACGGTAATGCTGCCACCCTTATACCAGGACAGCTGGCAGCAACTACATGCACTGTCACCATCGAGTAGCTTCAAGGGAGATTGGTTGGTGCTACCGCCGCCCCCTTCGGAATCACACCTGCGTGATGCCGCGGTGCTGGAGGCGACGGGGGCAGCAGCAGCTGCTGCAGCCGAGGTGGCGGCAGCTGCTGCAGCATCACCATTATCAAAGAAGTACCCGTCCAGGGCAGATTCCATGCGAATCGTTGCCAAGGCATTCGCCGACGTTGCCAAGGCCTATGCCGATGCTGGCACTGCCGACGACTCAGCTGACACCGCTGACACTAACCACACCACCAACGGTGCCAACATCAGAATGCTTGGCACGGGCCCTAGGTTACTCTACCCTGATCCCCAGCCGCCATCCTTGGCTCTTCCCAACGAGCCCCCTGTACCAGGATTGTAGCCGACAATACTGGTGAACGAGAAAAGCATGAAGTGATAGCGTTATATAGGTTTACTGTTGTTTTTATTCCGTCAAATGAGAAAGACTCCGTGGCCCAGAGCCGACACGGGGCATGCCCAATCGGTCAGTTCATGGCCGTGCAGATGAACCCATCAGCCTAGGTCTCATCATATATCATCAGCAGCAGCCACATCATAATTATCAGTGATCCCTTCACTTGAAAGTACGACATTCTCTGGACTTGATGTCATGTTGCTAAGATGTTAACTGTTGTTGTGCGGGGTGAGAATGGTGCATTGCACTGATGTGTATCGTGTTTCTGAAGGTCATGTGCAGCAGGTACGTCTGCTGGCTGCTGGTCTGGTGCCACCGCACTCTGGGAAAGGTTTTCACCCGTAAATTCATGTTTACCCGTAATCACGTGGTCTTCACATGTAATTACCGGCCAAGAAAATTTGTACACATGCTTGTTTTTAAGTTGCCAAAGCATTCCTTTTATAAGGAATAACATAGGTGACATTTTGTTGGTTGCCCATGCTGGAAGTCATCCACAGTTTACATTACCCGTAATCACAAGGTCTTGACCCGTAATCCCCCAAGCCGTAATGCACAGCACCCGTAAAATTTCACGGGCTTAATTGCGACGAAGACGTTTTATGCGTGTGTGTGTGTGTTACATGGTTGGGGGTGCGTGACCCCATACCTGTAAGACTACCCATACGAGCCGAGGGCCCAAGGGTAATACTACAACGCCTAAAAGCCACGGAGGAAAGGAAAACACCGCACATCAGCCCAGACTAGCGTCTAAAGGGGGTAATTGAGTTTCGGTGAGCCCGCATATGTTCCAATATCCTCGCCGCACGTGCGGGTTCCCATTGCATGGCCTCCAACATGCTCTGTTGATGACCGAATCCCTCTTCAGCACGAATATAATTACAGGCTGGGCATTCTATTAACAGGCGTTCACATCCTCAATTCGGCTATTAGTACCACAACAGTGGCAAAACCGCTGCCCCCTGGGGACGTGGTACTTGCCCCTTCATGCTCTGTTTGCCTCGAAAGCCCAACAACATAAACGAAACTGCATTACCTTACGATGTGCTAAACGAGGAATGAAAACCTTAGCATGTGTTGGCCACATGACGGCTGCGGCTCCCGAAAAGGGCAGCCCCATCCAGTGCTTAAACTTCACCACTGTGATCCATCTTCGTATTTGCTGAGCGCGTCTGCCTGCTGCTGCTGTTCCCGGCTGCGTGGGTACCACACCACTGAAATGTCTGTGTCCGTATCCGCGCAGAGGCGATGGATCTCCGTCACTATGGGCAGGCAAGCGGTGTTGCCTTTCAACCCAACCATGCAGAATTCCGCCGGTTGGCTGTCCGTCTGGTATTGCACTGTCCGGCCGTACAACAGGTTCGGTGCCTGCTCTTGCAACCAGTGCAAGCTGTACAGCAGCGCCCGCAGTTCTCTTTCTGTGCTGCTAAAGTCATTCCGCTGCAGCCGCTGGGTTTCCTGAGCTTTGAAGGGCACAAGCATGCGGCTGTTGGCGCCCAGTTCTTCTCTAGGTAAGAAGGCTGCGAAGGCCCTGTCTGAGGCGTCCCCGACTAGTTCCGTCGTCAGTCGTAGGGCTGGTCCTTTCCGCCAGGTGGCTGTCCCGTTGCGCCTGCCCAGCAGCTCCATAAACAAGCCTGCCTGGTGTAGCACCTCCGCCGGGTCCCAAACCTCTTCGTCCCACGCCACACCCCGGGCTACACGCCACACCATCCACGCATACAGGGGTGCCGTGGTGACGGCGGGCGTCATGGCGATGATTTTGCCGGCCACCTGCGCCACCTGCCGCGCTGTTAGCCGTTTGCCTTCGAGCTGTGCGAGCAGCGTACGGAATCTAGCTAGCTTGTCGTCTGGTCCTCTGAATGCTTGTGCCTCCGCATCCACCTCCATCCCCAAGAATCAGACTCGCCTTCTTGGGATCAGCTGGCACTTGGACAGGCTGAGGGTGAAGCCTAGGGCTGCCAGCAGCCGTACCACCGCCCCACACTCGTACTGTGCCGCGGCCTTCGACCCCGCGGCACCCATCTGGTCGTCTATCAGGAAAGACATGCGGACCCCTAGCTGCCGTAAAGGCTGGAAAACCTCGAGCTTCATGCTTGTGTACAAGTGGCAGGCCGGCGCCAGGCCGAACGGCAGGTGTGGCCAAAAAAGCGTCTGCCCCCGCCACCGCATAGCCAGATATGTGTGCTCCCGTTCGTGGAGTGATAGCTGCCAGTACCCGCTCTTGTGGTCCGTGGTGTACAGCCAATCTTCCAGTAGGAGGTAGCTAGGTACATCTGCCAGTCGTTCGTACTTCACAGGCCGGTACTTCAAGAAACAGTTAATGTACATCGGATTAATACAGAGGCGCAGCTTGCTGTCTTTTTCCACTACCCGCAAGCCATTGATAACCGTGGGGGGGGGCGCATCTGCTGGCCATTTCCGTATCACCCCTCAGTCAAGGGCCTTTCTCAGTTCGGCTGTAACAAACTCACTGTGCTGAGTCGCGCTGCAATGGTTAGGAAACTGCACGGCTCGCGGCCGGTCACCCGCCATGATAAAGTCTAAGTCGCAATCCGGCACCGCGACCCGCAGCATTTCCCGCACTATAGCTAGCTTGCATCCCCGCTCCGGGGCTAGTTCTTGCCCTGGGTAGTCGCACGGCACCCACTCCAGCTGAATTCCGCCCTGCAGGTATCCCAGCCACCGTTTCTGTTTGTCCGTGAGGGGCCGGCCTTCGTTAGCTGCCTGAAAGAACACTCGCCACACTGCAACATGTAGACGTATCCTTCCTGGTTGGAAGTCTTCAGGATCTGGGAGCAAACAGACGACCTCTTCGAGAAACTCCTGTTCATCCCGCGGATCTACCGCGTCCTGTTGCCCCAGCCGCTGCAACCTCTGCCAGGCTTCCTGTAGCAGCTGGAGTGCCTCCCTGCCCCCAGCGTTGCGGGCACTCGCTTCCCAGGCTGGTGCTAGTCCTACGCCGCTGGATTTCCGCCCTGTCGGCTGGTGACTCACCCACTGGTCGTCTTCGCAAGGGTCATCTTCCAACGACAGCAACTCGGTCGGATCCCTTCCGTCGCCATCCTGAGTGTCTGCCGGGTAACCCACGTCAGGTTTCCTGTCATCGTCCCTTGCCGTTCCCTGCGTGCTCTCAGTCGACCTGGTTAGCATAGGCCTCTGGGCTTGGGTCTCCTATAAACCGAATAATAACCGGTGGGGCGGGAAACAGGATAAGAGGGTCTGGAGCTTACACTTAGGGTCCAAAAGGCAGAGCG